AACATTATAACGCTTTCACAGGAGAATTCACACTTACAGATGAGCTAGTGGAAGAACAAAGTTAGTTTTGAAAGGTTACAGAAAAAGATTTTAAAATGTCAGAGCCACTGTATAAAACTGACCACCATTGGCATCATGTTTTTAATCTGTCTAGGTCTGAGAATAGCCTAGGGTTTTTGAAATGAAGACAATTATCACCTCAGATGGGGTATACACATGCAAAATTCCGTCACCTCTCAGAGACCTGAGGAGGTGACAGGTTTAGATAAGAAGACACTTTGAACCTTGGATGACAGTTTTTCTTACTTTCAATGCTTTTGTGCTTTATTTAAATGGCAGCTATACTCTAAAAGGTTGTAGTTTTCTTTAAACTGTGAAGCTTTCTTCCTAGATTCTACGGTTTTTATTTCTTAGGTTATTTTAAAACAAGAACAAGGATTTTTCCCCTATTGTTTGATCTTGTTTCTAGCATAAAAGTGATTTGAGTCCTTTTCTGTTTCTCTCTAAAGAAACACCTTTGATTTTTATTTAAAACACGAATTTTTAGAGTAAAAGTAACCTTAAGGGTCATCTGCTTCAACTCCATTTCACAGATGAAGATAATGAGATTCAGAGAGAAAACAATTGAATGGCAAAACATAGAGTGTGGAAGATGGGTCAGAGAACATACTCACTTTTCTCTAGATGACAGAGTGTACCTTTGTTTATTTTTTCAGTACAGGAGTTTGAACTAAGGCCTTGTACCTACTAGGCAAGTACACTACTATTTGAGCCAACTTCCTGCTAGCCCCTTTTAGCACTGGTTATTATGTTTTTTTGTTATGGTCCTGGGATTTGAACTCAGGGCCTAAGTAATGTTTCTATATATTCTTTTTGCTCAAGGCTTATGCTATAGCAGTTGAGCCACAGCCCCACATCTAACATTTTAAAAGGTAGTTAATTGGCGATAAAGATCTCATGGACTTCCTGCTTTACCTGGCTTTGAACCATGATCCACAGAGCTCGGCTTCCTGAGTAGCTAAGATTATAGGTGTGAGCCACTGGTGCTCAGCTCACTAGTTATTTTTGAGATAAGGTCTTGCTTCATGCTTAGACCAAATCCTTGTATTTGTGTGTGCCTCTGTTGCTGGGATGACAGGCAGGAACCATTGCATTCAGTCATTAGTGGTGATGGAGTCTTATGTACATTTATTTTTGCCTGGCTAGCCTCAAATCATGATTTCCCTATCTCTTACTCCCAAGTAATTAGAATTACAAGCTAAAGCCACTGTGCCCTACTCTTATTTTCTTGGGACCATAAACTTTATTCATTCACTCAAAAATACATTTAGCATTTACTGTGTACTAGATACTGAAGATACAATGGTGAACAAGGTACATAAAACCCTTCCACAGAGGACTTTATAATTAATTATAAGAAATAGGCAATAAACAATCAGATTCCTCAGCTTCTATTAATGTATACTTGATCTTAGAGCCTATTCCTTAACTTTTGGGTCGATTGATACTTTTATTCTCTCCATTACTTCCCGGTCTCACTTTTCTTCTTTATCTCTCTTGTGGGTATAACATGAAAGAAGGAAGATAACCATGTCAGTTTCCTTTTTCTCTATATTTCAGGATCAGTGTAAAGCTTTGAATTTGCTGAAGTCAGGTTTTGTACCAGTGTAACATAAGAGTGAAGATGTAAGTATTTTTCAACACTGCACTAGTGGGCTGGCTTAGCTGTCAGCTCATTTGTGAGATGACAAAGAAGTACTGGATGTAAGAGTTGTACTATTACCTTATAATTTATCTGTTTTTTTAATACAGTTTTAGTTGTGCTGAACCCCACTGTACTTGGATGCCTTGACAGGTGTACTATTTTAGTAACACAGAACAAAACAGAGACAGAAAAGAAGAATACATGGTGTGCTTGTGCTGTCAGATGTGGGTTGCTCTATTCTTAAGTTTGTGGATGATTTGTTCAGAGTTGTTCAGGGACAACAAAGGGTTAGGATTTGTTTTTAACCTATGTAACACTGAGTGTTCTCACAGTTCACTTGGGAGGTGGGATGTTATTTCCATGGACACGTGTAAGAGGATACTGTTCCCTGTCTTATCTTTTCCTATTTGAAATGTCACCATTATAATTAATTTTTCAGAGATAACCATTTGCTTCTGTGAAGAGTCTAGTGTGGACTAACTTATGAAGTTTTTTTTTGGGGGGGGGGTAAGTTTTCCTGAACTCTTTTTGCTCAAGGCTAGTGCTCTACCACTTTGAGCCACAGCTCCACTTCTGATTTTCTGGTGGTTAATTGAAGATAAAAGTCTCATAGACTTTTTTGCTCAGGCTGGCTTCAAACAGCAATCCTCAGATTCTCAGCTTTCTGAGTAGCTAGGATGGCAGGCATGAGCCACCAGTACCCGGTCTTATAAAGTTTTTAACAGGAATAAGATCAATTTCTTCCATAACTCAAAGCATTCAAAGGGCTAAGAGAGAGAGCTGGGCAAAAAAACCTGAGGTGGAATGCTGATGAGATAATCTTTGCTCAGTTCCTTAGAGCCATATGAGAAGCCATTGTGCCATTCTGGTTGTCACTTCAACATCATTTGATTATTCATTCTTAGTGTAGAAAATAACTGTAGGAAACTTTTGTTTACACTTTAGTTACTAAGGATGAACAATTTTCAGTCAAGCTGTTTTCCAGGGTTTTCAGGATAGAGAAAGGACAACACCTCCCTATGTGCTTATTCTTTCCCTTTCTGCCTCTCCCTCAATATGAATAAGACTGTTCAGCTTTAAGCATTCCTCTGGTAAAATTAGAGGAAGATGTTTGGGAAATATTACTTAGCACGTTTTGAAATAAATGTAACACTATTTTAGAGAAGGAAATAAAAAATCGTTTAAATAAGGATACAGGTGGACCCATCGCAACAATGAGATGTACAAGTCGTTATGTTGAAAAATGAACTTTACTACTGGCCGGGTGGGGGGGGGGGGAATATGGGTGGGGGTAAGGGGGCAGGGTATGGGAAGGGATAGGAAGGGGAAACAAAGGAGGAAGCAAAAATGCTTGATAAGAAATGTACTCATTATCTTGCCCATGTAATGGTAACTCCTCTGTACGGTATTTTCATAATACAAAATTTTTAAAAATCTTTTTAAAAAAGTTTTTTTTGGTCAAAAATTAGCTATCAAAAATCATTCTCTAGAACCAAGAATGAAAGTTACATTACATGGAGTGGGAAGCTCAGGTAATAGAGCACCAACATGTGACTAAAAGTATAAGACCCTGAGTTCAAGTTGTGGTCCTGGTAAAAAGGTACATTGCAATGATCAATACTTACACAATGACTTAAAAGAGATTTTAGGAATAAAGTGTTGAAAATCAAGTCCTGTATACCAGAGAACACATACAAATCCACATAAAGACAAAGCACCAACTTCACATAATCCAATCCATTCTCTGACCTAGAACATATCAAGTAAATATTGGACATCTTTGGACATAACATTGGGTGTTTTGTACTTCAGCAAGTACTTTGGGATCTTGAATAAGGTGTTAGGGAAAAATAAGCGGTATTTGGGGATGGGTACCAGTCTCATGCTTCTAATTCTAGTTATTCAAGAGGCCAAAATTTTAGGCTTGTGGTTTGAAGCCAACCAGGGCAGACAAGTCAATGAAACTTTTATTCCTAATTAACAACCAAAAACTGGAAGTGGATCTGTGGTTCAAGTGATAAAGCATTAGCCTTGTGCAAAAAAAGCTCAGGGTCAGTGACCAGGCCCTGAATTCAAGCTCCAGGTCTGCAGAAAAAAAGCCAGAAGTGGAACTCTGGTTTAAGTGGTAGAGCACTAGCCTTGTGCAAAAAAAGTGCAGGAACAGCACCCAGGCCTGGAGTTCAATCCCAAGACTGCAAAAACGTCAGTATTTAGTTAAGAACAGTATTATTCAGGGGGCTAGGAAGGTGGCTTAGTGGTAGAGTGCTTGCCTCGCATGCATGAGGCTCAGAGTTCGATTCCTCAGCACCACATAAGCAGAAAAAGCCGGAAGTGGCTCTGTGAGTAGTTGAGTGCTAGCCTTGAGCTGAAGACTTGAGGGACAGCACCCAGGCCCAGAATTTAGGCATCACGACTGACAAAAAGAACAACAAAAGTTTATTCAGGAGGATGGAGGTGTGGTTCAATGGCACTATGCTTCACGTGTGTCTCTGGATTCTTTATTCCTAATATTGTAAAAAATAAAAATAAAAAGATTGCTCAATTGGACAGTCAGATGTGGTTCATATGCAGCATGGGATAGGAGGCAGGAAGACTGGATATTGGTGGCTGGCTGGACAAAGTTAGTGAGGTGCTTAACTCAAAAACAATGTACTAACCAAAGAGCTGGGGCATGGCTCAAGTGGAAAAGTGTTAGCAAGCACGTGCAAGGCACTGGCTTCAATCTTTATTACCACAAAAAGAAAAGAAAAAGGCTGTTGAAGAGGATCATATGAGGCAGGAAGACAGAGTAGAAGAACTCACTCAAGGGCAGTGTTCAGTTGTGATTGCATGTTAATAGTGCTAGTGTTTTGATCATATCATAGAGCTTTTGTTCTTTTTACTTTGTCAGTTTCATTTTGTCCCACAGGATGACATGTAAATTTGTCTGTATCAACTCCTTCGGAAACTAGTTAAGCCTTGCTTGGTGACTCTAAAGGTAGCAGGCTAAGGAGGATAGAAGGATTACTAAGGGCTTTAACAAAATCTGTTTGCATTACCAGTATAACTCAAATCTCCTGAGGTTTTTCCAAGGTTTTTGTCCTTTCCACTTGAACCCTGTGTTGGAATTTGAGCAGATGATCAAATGTTGTGGTAATTTCTATGGGACATTAGTTGCTAAATTGCTGAGTTCATTTTAATTGAAGTGTGAGAAGACAGGTAGACAACATCCTGTTCTTTGAGCTCTCTCTCTTGCTCTTGCTCTCTTTCACATACAAGCGTGCGCACGCGCGCGCGCACACACACACACACACACACACACACACACATCTGGCTGAACTGGGAGTCAGGTGGCTGATTTGTGCCTGGCGGCAGCAGCACCACTAATATTTCCTTTTTACCATCTCTGTCCTTGGCCCTCTTGAATACATCAAGCCATGGAGGCAGTGACTGTGTATCATGGCAAGATCAGCCGGGAGACTGGGGAGAAGCTACTGCTTGCCAGGGGACTTGATGGCAGCTATTTGTTGAGAGACAGCGAGAGTGTTCCAGGAGTGTACTGCTTGTGTGTGCTGTGAGTACATTATGGTGGTAGCTTGGCTACATGTGTGGCCTGGGACTGCTGAGGGTGGGAGTAATACATATAAGATGGTTTTTTTTTTTATCAAAGCAGGAGGAAGCACAGGTGGCAATAGCTCATGGAGGCCTCTTCCTCCCCACATCCATGGCCCTAAGACTTCCATAGGTTGTGCGGAGGCATGTGGTGACCATGAAATGGCCTATGTGCTGAACAGGGCTTTTATGGATTGTGTGGAATGCCCTTCACAGTGGGAAAATGTGCCCTGGAATTTTCCTTCATTCTGAGAAACATCACTGCTCTGGATTGCTGTTTTGATCTCTAATAGAGACCACAAGCAGATTTGGACATTTTATCCCAAAGGAAGAGAGCAGTAAATTCAGAGGAGACAGAAAAGTAAGAAATGGAGCCCATTACTTTAAGAATGTAATACCAGTTAGATCAGGATGCTGGTGTGTGTGTGTGTGTGTGTGTGTGAGGATGCTGGTGTGTGTGTGTGTGTGTGTGTGTGTGTGTGTCTGCCTCTCTGGATCTGCTGAGTTAGTTTAGTTTCCATTACTGGAGTTGTGTAGTGGGTAAAAGGTTTCAGAAGTATGACCCTTTTCAATAAAAGCCAGAACTGACAAGAATTGTAAAGAGCATAGATGGAAAACACCCTTGTTATGATTCAGTCTTGCTCTTTGCTTAGGTAGTTTTGAATAGGAACTCGAATCTTTGCTCCAGACCTCCAGAAGCTGGCAGATTTGAAGCCTAATTTTTCAGTAATAGATGCAAGGGTGAGATACCAGCAAATGAATCTCAGAGTTTCTCAGTTTTCTTATCTATCAAATGGGCATCATTTTAAAAACTATGTCATGAGGATTAAATGCCATAATGTATGTGAAAAGGTGAGCATTGGACCAGACTCAGTGCATGTTCAGTAAATCTAAGCCATTGGCATTATCATTACATTTTTTATCTTTTTAGAGGATATATTTTAGTACTCATAGAGACATTTCTGAAGGAGAAACCAGTTTGAGCACTGTCAGCAAGATAAAAATACCCAATCTTAACCATTAAGTTCTGGACAGAAACAAAACAAAGAAAGATTTTTGTGTACTGAGTTCAGTACTTAATGGTTCTTTCTGGTTCAAAGAAAAAAATATACTATCAGTACTGTTAGAGGATTTTCATTTTATGTTTCTTTAAACATAATGGTCTTGAGCTGGGTACCAGTTGCTCATGCTTGTAATCCTGGCACTCAGGAGGCTGAGATGTAAGGATTGCTGTTCGAAGCCAGCATGGACAGGAAAAGCTGTGAGACTCTTTTTTATTTTATTTTTATTTTTTGTTAGTCACGGGATGTGAACTCTGGGCCTGGGCACTGTTTCTGAGCTTTTCAGCTAAGTGTTCTACCACTTGAGCCACAGCTTTACTTCCAAGGCTGTGAGACTCTTTAACCATCTAAAAAACAGAATTGGAGCTGTGGCCTAAGTGGTATAGTGCTAACATTGAGCACAAAAGCTCAGGGACAGTTCTGAGCTGTTGAGTAGCTCATGTCTTGAGTTCAAGCCCTAGAACTGGTACCAAAAAAAGATCGTCTTGTTTGTGGCAGTTCTAAGCACACATTAAATAATTTTATTAGAAAAACTTGAAAGTAAAAGAGTGGAAGCCTCTGAATTTTTTGGATTTAATTTCTATGTGTATGTGTTTGTGTAAATATATGCCTGGCAGTGGAGCCCAGGGTCTCAGCTGCTTTACCATTGACTGAGCTACATACACCTCCCAGCCCTAGTCTGGATCTTTTATTTTGCTTATGTGATTGATTTTTCCAAATGAAACCCAAAAGAGCAAGGAAAGCCAACTGGGATTCTTAGGCTCCATAATATTCAATGCATATCCTATGAAACTAGGAAAAATGAGGGAAGGATTGGGTTGAGAGGGATGGGAGAGAAAGATGGAAGAAGTGCCATTGATCAAGATGCATTGCAGTTAAATATATGTCTATGTAGCTATATAATATATTGTTTATAGTATTATAGCATATATTATATGCATATTATACATATATATAAATCTATATTTATATACAATTTTTTTAAAGAAGAAGACTTACTGAAAGTGGCTGCTTTAGGAAAGCTAACAAAGCTGGGGAAAGCAATCTTTAACCTTGAGATAAATGTGAAGGTTCACAAGAAGCGTGAGTTAGGGGAGAGAGAACAGCAGACACTGTGTGACAGACACACCAAAGGCTACAACCTCACTGGTCCTCCGGACATTTCTGAAGCACTTATGGTCTCTACTTTCAAATGTACATTCAGTTCACACAGTAAGTGTGAAATTCTCAAACATTTATGTTTCTACCCAAAGTGGCTAGTTTTTGACCTTTACTCCTCTACAAAAATGTCCTCATGAAGTAGCATAAAGTAGTAAGCAAGTTGGGAGTTCCCTTCCTGTGTCTTTTGATGGAGCCCTAGTGCTCCATTTTTAACGTGATAGCCAGACTGCTGCAGAGGCAAGTCACAAGGACACATGACCTTCTATCCATTTCTTCACCTTATAAAGCCAAGGTCCTTTTAGATACATATAAGCACTTTATTACCTCTTATTGGTACTACATTGTGACTACAAAATTTTGTTTTGGAATAGTCCATGTAACTAGTTTGATTGCAGATTTGACTCCATGGTTTCTCACTCGATCTTTTTTTCATTCCTTTTAACCACAAAGATTTGAGTGGGCTTTAGTTTTTGTGTTTTTATTGTAGAGATAACACGTCATCGTCCTTTCAGACTGTACTTTAAGTTGTACTTTCAAACCAGTCTTGTCCCTTTGTTCAGTTCTAAATGTCTCAATCATGGTTTTCAGATATAGCTTTTTAGTCTATTCAGTTTTAGAAAGTAAAATCTCATAAAACAAAATGGAAGTTTTTCACTTATACGCTTGCTCACCTTCATTTAAAGTGAGAAATTTTTCTTTCAATTATTTTCTCTAAACCTAGATTTTTTGTATAAGCCTATTAAAAATGCTTCATTATACTTCATCATGTTAGAAAATTTGAAAAACATAGAGAATGGCCTGAACAAGAAATCATCTATAATTTTACAATCTAAAGATAACTACTATTAAAATTTTAGTGAATTTTTTGCATTTGTTGTTAGTGTATATATGCTTTTATCATATATTTTGTGGTTTTTCCCATTAGATATGAAAAAAATCCTCATAATATTCTTAAAAATAATTTAAAGGTTGGGTGCCCATAATTCATGCCTGTAATCCTAGCTACTCAAGAGGGTTGAGATTTGAGGATTGTGGTTCAAAGCCAGCCTGAGCAGGAAAGTCTGTAACCCTCTTATCTCCAGTTAACCACCAAAAAGCTGGGAGTGGAGGTGTGGCTCAAGTGGTAGAGCACTAGCCTTGAGCAAAATAACTCAAGGACAGTGCCCAGGCCTTGAATTCAAGCCCCAGGACCAGCACCAACAAAAAATGATAATAATTTGAAGGGAGTAGAATAGCTGTGAGATAGTATATTTTTGTCATAATCTTTTTGACATTTATATCATTCCATTTTAAGATTATTCTACCATAGTTAATATTTCAGAGTATAAATGTTTTCTTGAGGGGCTGAGAAGGTGGCTCAGTGGTAGAGAGCTTGCCTTGCATAGATGAGGCCCTGGGTTCGATTCCTCAGCACCACATAAACGGAAAAAGCTGGAAGTGGTGCCTTGGCTCAAGTGGTAGAGTGCTAGCCTTGAGCTGAAAAGCTAAGGGACAGTGCCCAGGCCCAGAGTTCAGGCCCCACGACCGAAAAAAAAAGTTTTGTTGCTTCTGTGACTGTTTCCTTATGTAATTTCTAGGTCAGAAAATACAAACAATTTCAGATTCATAACACATATATGATTATTACACTGTTTCAAAATGGTTATACAAATTTATATATTTATCAGAAAGGTACCTACCCTAAAATTGGGTAAACTTGCTAAAAAATAATTCTACTTCACATTTGGTGTACTATTATTTATATTGTGTTTACACTTATCTTTTTATTTGTCATGTTTTAGTTTTCATGTTTAGCAATTGCCATTTTATATGAGTAATAAATGATTCTATTTTTTAAATTTGCAATTCTATTTCTTAATTCATGAATTGGCTCTTTGTGTTTGGCTATGTGTATATTTTCTCACTTAGTTTAGGTCTTACTGTTTTTCTTAATGCATTATAATCTTTTTGCATACTAACCTTCATCTGCTGTATACTTTCTTTTAATTTTTTGGCATGGTAGTACTAGGGCTTGAACTCAGGACCTGTCTCTTTTGCTTGGCTCTTTTGATCATGGCTGGTATTCCACCACTTGAGCCATACCTGTAGCCTTGTTTTTTCTTTCAGAGATGAAGTCTTCTGAACCCTAGCTTCCTGAATAGCTAGGAATAGAAGTATGAACCACTGGCACCTGGGTGCTATTACCTTTTTTTCTTAAGGTCTAATCTTAGGTGCTGGGTTAAATTTTTTTTATTGTGAAAATACCATATAGAGGGGTTGCAATTACATGGGCAAGATAATGAGATAATGAGTACATTTCTTATCCAGCCTTGTTGCCTCCTCCTTTGCCATTATCTTTTTTGACACACTTTGTACATCTGGGGATGTAGTTCACTGGAAAAGTACTTGTTTAACATGCACAAGACCCTGGGTTCCAGCCTCTATGCCACAAGAAAGTAAGAAAAATAACAAACATTTTAGTAGTCAAATTTGTCACTCATTTTCTTTGTTTTTAATTTCTTATTTATTTATTTTTTTTGGTCGGTCATGGGGCTTGAACTCTGGGCCTGGGTGCTGTCCCTCAGCTCTTCAGCTCAAGGCGAGCGCTCTACCACTTGAGCTACAGCGCCACTTCCGGTTTTCTGGTGGTTTATTGGAGATAGGAGTCTCAAGGTCTCTCCTGCTTTGAACCGCGATCCTCAGATCTCAGCCTCCTGAGTAGCTAGGATTATAGGCGTGAGCCACCAGTGCCCGGCTTGTT